TCGTCCTGTAATGGCAATGGTCCGTTGATTAAATTCATTCTACCGAGGAATCTTTGGACCTTTGAATATTATTGATCGTTGTATGATACTTTTTGCCAATGGGAAATCTTGACGGTTTTTGAGACTTGATCAAGAAGCGTAAATTGAGGCTTCATTCTGAAGTTTCTCATTTTACCGCGTTTCAGTACCTTAAACTCCATATAACTCAAGTCTTAAAATTCGCTACGCGATAGTTCCCACGCGATAGCGATAGTTCTATATAATGCCTGCAGTTAACATTATTTTTTTGTTGTATTGCATAAATATATTTTATATAATGATTATTCTGCCACTGATTCAGCACCTCACCCATTATACATATATCCTTCTCCCGAAAAGCAACTCCACAAATAACGCAATGTTTGGCAACTTTGCCTCAAATACATCTTGTTACAATCCTCCTGTAATGGCAATGGTCCGTTGATTAAATTCATTCTACCGAGGAATCTGTTGGATCTTTGAATATTATCGATCGTTTTATGATACTTCTGAAGTTTCTCACTTCAAAGCTCCATCATCAACAAAAGAATTTATCGACCATGGGACAGATGAAGATCATTTCCGGCCCAGTATTCATCGTACCATTTCCTGACATCATCCAACTGACCTTTCTTATAATTATGTTGAAGGAGGATAGAGATTTCATCCTCAGTGAATCCGAAATAATCCGCAAATTTTTTGTTGTGCATTTAGAACACTTTCAAATTATTAAGCCCTGATAAATATCCTGACTTAGCAATGCGAGAAACACCAAGAAGGCCTTCTCCAAATTTTCATCATTGGTCAATCCAATCATTTGTTAGGTCATTACTTGCATGGATCCTACTGTAATAAATGCTTGCGCTCCAAACAAAGAAGCAAAAAAACCACGCTTCTTCATAATATTGATACCGGTAATCAACGACAAGAGGATGGTCGTATTCATCGATTAGGACGATACACTTGCTCCTGTGAAAGTCTGTCAAGTACCCAGAAAGGTCGACAAGAGCATCATATATAAGTCTACAATTCTCATCCTCGGAACGTATTTGACTGAAACGTGTCTTCTCATATGGGTCAAGTTTATCGTAAACATAAACTGTGATTTTTGTAGTGTTGCAAACATCCCAAGTAGTTTGACTTGCATTTCCGACCAAGTTTTACAGCCATCGAAACCCTGGAAAAGACTTCAGAGTTCTCAGAGTTCTTGAAAATGGCAAATGAAACAAATAAGATCTCGGTGACTGAAGGCATTGAACTCGACGAGTAACAAAGTGAGTTGGAAGACGGTCCTACGAAAGACCTGAGAAAGGACATTTGCATCCAGGAATATGTAGTGCAAATATATGCGCATATTTTAAGAATTTTTCACAAATGTTATGTACCACATATTTCGCATAAAGAAAAAGAACACTGAAAGCCTGTGCTATATTGCTTGACCTAAAAAAGAATTTGTATTACAACAATCGACTGCCAATTATTTCAATATTTAGTTAGTAACAAATGGTTGAGGAATTACTTTATTAGTAATTATAAAACAAAGTAAGTTAAGTTTAAATACGCAAACTTATATAAATAATTACATTTCAATGTTCTCCAATGTGATTTTATAAGCATTATTGTCTTATAAATATTAATTTCAAAAAATGAACGTGTTCAAAAATAAAATTGAGATCACTTGTACCAATTTTTCCATAAATAAGTTCATGTCATTTGTAAATCATTTTGATAACAAAATCAAATCATTTCTCTTATGCACTGAGCCCAGATTTCTTGTGGGTTTGTAATAAAGTCTTTATTAATAGTTGGAATTAATGGATTTACAGGATAAGGACAGAATGGAACTAGATAGTTTTAGGATATGTTTCTAATTTTTATGTCTAGAATATATTTAGGACAATATATCCATAAATTATAAAATTAGATATAAAATATATAAAAATATTTAATGATCATAAAGGATAAAATAAAATCTATTAATTTGTCATATTAAGATATATTTAATAATAGTATTCTTAAATTTTTTAAATTAGTAATTATTAATATACAGTCAAACCTCTATATACTGATGCTGCTGTTTTGGAAAAAAAGTATCAGTATATTAAATTATCGGTGTATTTATATACTAATATTAATATTAAATGTTTGATCAGTATCAGTATACAAAATTTTTCACCATTTCAACTGTAAACTTAAATTTTTTTAATAAAGCATTATAAATTTTTATAAATTTACTATTCAAATTATTTATACAATTATTGGATAAAACTATCTAATATAATTTGTTTTGAATCATCAATATGTGATTTTAATACCTGATGTCTCAATTTCTGTAATAAATTTAATTCATTTGAATTAATAGAATATCTAATAAATTTTCAAAAAATATAATAAGATCATCTAAATGATTCAAAGCTTCTTTTTTGAGATTACTACTAAAGGCTCATTATCTTATTCTACCTTAGGTTCATCATTATTTGGTTTTATTACCATAGATATAATTTCATCATCTGTATATCCTTCATTAATTTTTAAATAGTCGTCAAGATAAAGAAATTCTTCAATATCCATAAGATCATCAAATGGAAGTTGATTAATGAGATTTTGTAATTCTATTTCATTATGAAATGCCTAATTATTATCATCTTCAATTTTATTAATTTCATCTATTTCATCATATAGAAGAATTTCTGTATACTTCCAACAATTATTAATTGTTTTTTGGCTAATAGAATTCCAAGCATTATTACTAAAATTAATAATATTATTAATATTTAAAGAAATTGTTTTTTTATTTAATTCTTGTGAAATTTCATATGCTTTAATCCTGTTTTTAATAAGTAACTTTTGATATTGCATTTAAATTAATAAAAAATTATATTATAAATAAATATAAAAAATATATATTAGTAATAAAAAAAAAATTACTAACTTTAAAAGAATTGATAATTCCAGCATCATAAGGTTACAAGTGAAAGGTTATATTGAGCAGTAAAAAGTGTATAGTCACATTTGTCAAATTATTATCTTCATTTATAATATGTACAGAAGCATTATCAACTAATAAAAGGATTTTGCGATTTTGTGATTGCATTTGCGTATTCAATTTTTTAAGATATTCATTCTATATAAAAACTTGCATCTATGTAGTTGAATTCTAGTAATAATTAACTGGTAATTCTTCTTTTTTCTTATCTTTTAATGCTCGTGAATTTTGATAAGTATGAATAAAAAGTGGCTTTAATTTTTCTGATCCAATTGCATTATATGTAAAAAGAATAATAACTCTATTTTTAGATTTATTTTCAGAAAGTGACTTTTTTGCTAACGTCTTTGATGGTTTAAGATCTCAATACAAACCTAAAATAAATAAAAATTTTATATGTATAAGTTTAAATTTTTTACAAAATAAAAAAATTTACCTGTCTTATCACAATTAAAAATATCGTTCAAATTATACTTCTTAATAATTTTATGCAATTTTTATTTTTTCTTATTTAAAGTTTTAAGCTAAGCACTTGTTGCCTCTCCTGATTTAGTATATTTCCTTATGTTATTGCATTTTTTAAAATTAAAAATCCATTTATTAGAAACTAAAAAGTTATTAATTTCAAAATGCTTGGCGAAAAATTCTACCTTTTCACGTAAAATATTAGTATTAATGGTAAGTTCTATTGCTAGTGCATTTGTAACCCATAATGCCATAACTTCTTCTACTTGTGAAAATTGTACAGGCCTGTCCCTTTGTTTTTTGCCTTCTTCTGAGTTCATATCTATGTGTAACTATTTTCCTTTATTTCTTAAAATATCTAAAACAATATTTTATTTAATACCATATTGAATAGCAAGTTATTCTTAAGTTAGTTATAATTTTTTTTGAAAGTTCAAACAAAGTTGATGCTTTTGTGCTTTTATTAAAGTAACTCATTTTTTCAGCTGAAATAGTTATTAAATCATTTTTTTTTTGTCTGACATTGTTAAAAGAGAACAAAGAAAAAATGAGTATTATGCAATTGATCTAATCTTAAATAGTTAGCATATTAATATATCGATATATAAATCAGATTTTCTAATATATTACTATATATGGAACTAAAAGATAATATCAGTATATATTATATCACGAAATAATATAAAATATTGATATAACAAGATTTTTTTATTAATAGTAAAATGGGAAGGAAAAAAATTATCAGTATAAGTAAATATCGTTATATATTATATCAGTATATCAAGGTCTTATTGTATATTAATTTTTTTAATTTTTTAATTTTTAAAAAATAATTTATTATCTAAATTAAATAATTATAAAAAAAAAATTAATTTATTGAAATTATTTTATTAAAACCTATTAAATAATAATATTTTTATATTTTAAAATCAATAGTTAGTAAGATATATAAGTTTAAAATTTTAATTATTTTTAATAATATTTTATTTTTAAAAAATTATTGATAAAATAAAATTACTTAAAATTTATATTAAAAAATAAATCATGTAACTTTTTTAATATTTATAAAATATTTCAGATCTTTATTAAATGAACCAAAAATTATTAAACATTATATCATCATAATAATAAATGTAAAAAAAAAAAATTAAAAAAGATCATCTTTAAAAAGAATTCTTAATATTCATTTTGCATTACTATCTAGCAGGATAAATAATATCATCTATTATATTTTCTGAATCATCATCATTATTAATTAATTTTTCTTTTTTTAACATATTTATTCAACTTTGAAGATATTCACTAAATTGATTTTTCATATTATTTGATCATATTCATCATCTGAATTTGAATCATTTTCTATTAAAATTTTATTATTTTTTTCTATTGAATTAATATCAATATCAGTAATATTAATATCAGTATCTAATATAATAAAATCAGATATAATATTATTAGAATTAAGATGATAAGATTATATAATATCAGCTCTTAATTACTTATTGCAAGAGTTTTAGATGACTATAATAAAAAATGATTTAATATCTAATAAATTGATTAATATATATATATATAATATACTTTAATTAATTATGTCTATTTATTTGTAAAAATTCCATATAATTTCAAAATCTTTTTACAGAAATTGTATATATATATATATTAAAATTCTATAAGTAACAATGCCTAATTCATTTATAAAAAGTCCAACATAATACCAATATCTTTAAATATCATTATTAAATTATTTGTATGTATTAATATCAAATAGATATTTATTTAAAAAAAAATCATTAAATTCTTAAATAATACACTTTAGTTCTTTTCTTAATTATGCATAATAATAATATATAAGTTACTTATTAAATATTAAATAATTAAAATTAGATATTGTATTATTAAAATATTCTATTTTATATTTTAGATATAACAAATAAGATAATATAAGAAGTAAATATTCTCATCTTTCCTAATATTGTTTAAGTCTATCAATTAATTTTGTAGCAAGTTCAGTATTAGAATAATTTAACCAATATTTAATATAAATATTCTAAATCATGTATTATTTAAAATAATCATATTTTATCAAATTGTAAAACATTAAGTATTTTACAATAAGGATTAAAAATATTAATAAGTAATATAAAATTTTTCCAAAAGTTATTAGAATTAATTATTTTAAATATAGTATGTGAAATAGTTAAATCTCTTTTTGTTTATGATGAATTTCTATAATATGTAATTTATATTTAATAGTTAGTATATAAATAATAAATTTTTTTAATACTTTTTTTTAAAAAATAAAAAATATAATAATTATTAAATAAAATTTACTTACTTGTAATGCTTGTTAAGTTTTAAAAGACTTAAACACATTTCATAAATTCTATTTTATTTTATTTTACCTGAAGCAATTGTGTTATATATTTTTTATAAATTTCATATTGTATTTCTTTTAATTGTCTAATAAAAAATTTGTTATTTGAATTTCAAAAATATGTTGTAAGTTTATTAGCATGATCAACTGTAACTTTAAATTCTATAGATTTGTTGAAAATTTCACTTATATAAAGATTTATTTGATATGCAAAATATGGCAAAAATATAACTAATCTTATTAAAATTATTAATCTATATTTAATATAAAATAGAATTTTAATATTTAAAAAAATAAATTAATAAATTAATAAAACTTACCTAGCTGCTATATATATTCTTATATTATCAGTAATAATAGTACAAATAGTAATTTCTTTTTTCTGTAATTCAGTAAGCATTGATTCTACTTTTTCTATTACTTTAATATAATTTTCATATTCTACACTAATATTAACAGCTTTTCAAATATAAGGTCTATCTTTTAAAG